AATTTGGGCTCTGTCTTGGATTGGAATTGCTCAGAAAGATGGATAAGTGAATGCCCTTTAGGGAATTCTAACCAGTTTGTGGCTGGTATCCAAAGATCTACCGGTATGTTAGATTCACACCAGGTTTCCTGACTTTTTAAAGAAAGATCATGACCATGGAGTCAATGCTTTAAAAATATTTTTCAGCTACCTAATTAATCATGGGGATTGATCTGAGTTTGGAAAAGTGACTTTTCTGACTGGCCTGAAATCATCCCAGTTGAATTTGGTTGGCTACTGTTGAAAAGAAAATGTAAGAGTAGATGGTCTGGTGTATCAAGATGAGAGGTCCACTGTATTTCTATAGTGTAGGTGCACTTTGAAGCACTATGCAGATGAAACCTGTGCATTTTTCATTCTTGTAACCATCAGGACTTACAGTATGCAAAGGGATCTTGTAGCACCATTGGCTAACTGAAAGAAATAAGCTGGTAGCAGTTCAAAAGTATGGAAATCCAAGTAGATAAATAGGTACCACTTTGGTGGAAAGGTAAACAGCGTTCTGTGCAATCATAGTGGCTTTTCAGCTTAGTAACAGGGATGAGCACTGCCCCCTATGGTCAGACATGACTTAACAACCTTGCCAACAGGGAATACCTTTACATTTATCTTTATGAGCTTTTGTATAGATTATTTCTTTCAGTTAGTGTCAAAAGTACTATAAAATCCCTTTGCATATTGATTTTCCAGACTAACATAGCTATGTCTTGGAATTTGACTTTGTATACTGATACTCACATCAAAATCCCACTGAAAGATTCCTGGGACAGATATTGGCATTACTTTGGGTTGAGGGGCCTGTGATGAAGATACACTGGATACTGCCACATTGTGGCTCATATGTCACACACAAAACAACTTTATTTGCAAAAGCTACAAAAAATATTTGTGTAATCACTCTGAATGCTATTGTGGTGGACAAATAGCTTGTAAGGGTATAGGAAGGAGCATGCAGCCAATCCAGAAGATTTAACAGTGCTTGCACACATTCCTAGCTGTCATGTGCAGGCTAAATGCAGCTTGAAACACAAGCCTCAGCAAAGCCAGAAAGCTTTATTCGGAAAACTGAGTTGATCACAGCATAATGATGTCAGGACTGAAGCACTTTTGGTTACACAGTATATTTAAAACACTTAGCAATTCAAACACCTTTGCATGCTTTCATTGCTCATTTCCTCATACCTGCTCATTAACTACCTCCAAGGAAGATAAACGATCTTTCCATCTACATATCCCATTATCCAGTATTACAAAGCATATACAAAATATATGGCAGGAACTATGATTCTAATACAAGCTTGTACTCACATAATGTTTTGCCAACATATTTAGGCCAGCCTCCTGTTAGTGACATGTGCA